AAAAAAAATAAAATAAAATAAAGTAGCTCATTTGGGGTGTTTGGGTGGCACAGTTGGTTAAGCATTTGGCTCTCGGTTTCGGCTCGGGTAGTGGGATTGAGCCCCCCCATTGGGCTCCGTGCTCAGCACGGAGTCTGCTTGAGATTCTCTCTCCCTCTCCCTCTGTCCCCCTTCTCTTTCTCTCTCTCTTCTCCCCCCAAAGATAAGGTAAAGTAGCTCATTTTCCTTTTCCATAAAGATTTCCTAGGAAATCTTTAAAAGTTTAACACTTGAGCTGATTATAGGAGCAAAGAATCCTTTTTTTTTTTTTAAAGCTAAGGTGTTAAGTAAGGATTTATGTTGAAAGTTACTTAAAGATACTCATCCTACAGAATTTTTGAACCTACACCCAGTTTAGATCACCCACCAGTGTGCTTCAAAGCCATCTTTAGTTATGCAGATTATGGTCCAGAAGATGATTCTTTGACTTATATAATTATCTTTTAATTATTCAAGAACTTGTTATCTCTTTGGCTTAGCCACGGAACATTTTTCAAATGCTCCTATCACCTTGGTCCCCATCTGTCTGGTATCTATTACGCCAGGACCCTTCCTGTCCAACAAAGGTGTCCTCAGGACATTCAGATACTTCACTTTCAGTAGGAGAGTTTTCTTTTTCTTTGATTGTGATAAAAAACACAACATGAAATCTGCGCTCCTATTAAATGTCCAAATGTACAGTACTAGCAAAGTTTGGTTTAGAAAAAGGAAGAAAACACTTAATACAAAATAAATTATTCTCACAATTTTTCCCCGTGGTTTGGGGTTGTTGTCCATATCACTTCCCTCCTCTGTCAACCTGAAAAATAAAAAAATCTAACACATGTCCCCTACTGTGAATTTAATCCTTGTAAATATTGTTTCCTCCAACCCACTTAGGACTGCTTTCTTTCGTTTACCAAGGCGGTGCTCTGCATTTCACATAGAAACAGCCGAAGGGAGGACCAAGGCATGAGTTATGGTGGTACATTTTAACGATAGGGAGAAGCAAGAGAAGAGGAGCCAACCTTGTTGCAGATAGGGAAATTGTCCAGATTTGCACAAGATCTAGCAATTCCTGACTTTTTCAATACTTCGGAATCACCATCCGCATGTTTTTTTCCCTATTCTATCCTGTCCCATCCCATGTTTTAAAAGATTATACTTACCAACAACATGTATCATCCGTAATTAATTAATTTCCTTATTTTGCAGTCATTAGAGACTAACTCCTGAATTGCTAGCTAAATATTCTGATCAGCGTGAGTTGCCCAGCGAGACCTACAGAGAGAGCATCCCAGCCAACTTGATCCTTGGCCTGAGCAGCCTCCTGGGTACAGACATGATTCCCCTTAGGCTGTTGATTGTAAATAAGACTTGGATATTCTCAGCACAGAAACATCTGCATGACTCAAGTGTTATTTGGAACACAACTTTGAACAGAACAATTGATTCACAGTTTCATCAAGCCACTAATTTTGGTACAGAAGCCAGTGACAGTAGTAATAAGTCTGAATTCTAGCCTCCGAAGAATTCAGACATCCCAGGAACTTTCCATAGGGAGGCTACCGTCCCTCTCTTTGTAGCAAACATGCAGTAATCCAGAGAGTGGCTGTGCATACAGCAAAGTGAGTTCTTCATCAAGGAGTTCCAAAATAAAAGGTCAGGCACGGTGAGGTTGAACCTTAATCAGTGCATTATCGGGGTTCTTGTGAAAATGCTGGATTGGGGTGTGGGATGGAGACTGGCCTTGAATTCTGTCCTGCTGAGAAGGAAAGCCATCTCTCTATAAGACTTTACTATTATGGTAGAAGCAGGATGCCTTCTCAGGTTGATCGTATATGAGTAAGATATTTTCCCCCTTTGAGAAGAACACATTCATGAGGGAATATGCCGATCACTGTGGATTAAGGATTTTTTCCTTTAATTAACAGAGTTTTGAAACCCCTGGTTGAATCTTTATAGGGCCCCCCTTTTTCATCTGATGTTCTTTCCGGCCACTCCCCCTCCCACACCCCAGGTAACATATTTTTACAGAGATGCTCTATTTTCGTTTCTACAGTTTCGCCAAAGTGGAATAAGCTTGTCTGTCGATTTCTGCCCGATCATTTCTAAATAGTAGAAATCGCCTAATGGAGCTGTGGTATGGATTCCCACTGATGGCGATTTAGCTGTTAGTCCCACCTGCCTTCTTTACACCCATCCTGCTGAGGCATATGGGTTCCATTTCTGACGATAATCATTCAGATACCTGACTTGTGCTATAATTGATGTCAGTCTTTATGGATTTTCTGCATTAAGCATAGAAGTAAGTGGCTTTTACTTTAAAGGTAGTCAATTAGCCCCAGCTTACGGGATGCCACCACGAGGTCACGTTGTTGCCTATTGCTAGAGATGAGACTACAGGAGGAGCTTGACAATTCCAAGCTTTGGTCAGCAGGAACCACCAAAGGTTAAGAGTTGATGTACCTAAGGAGAGCCAGGTATCTGGTGGCCAGTTTATGGACAGCCTCTCCTAAGCCTGTCTTCTCTGAGCCATCTTAGAAGTAAACTGCTATAAGAAAGATATAATAAAAAAGGAGAAAGTAACTGAATATTCAAAGAAAGAGATATTGCGGGACTGCCGGGAATAAATGTCATTAGGCCCATGAAGATTTGAAACCGGGGCTGCATAAATCAAATCCCTTACAGGAAAAAAAAAAAAATGTTAATTAACAGGAAGGAAAAAAAAAAAATGGAAACCAAAAAAAAAAAAATTTTTTTTCAAGAACCTAAAGAAGACAAAGTGACAAGTGAAAAGTTACTTAAAAGCCATTGTGAGCTTTAATGGAGAGGCTAGGATTACAGATAATGTAATAAACCTTCTGTGAGTTATGGCTTCCTGAAAGTCTAAATGAAACCTTACCTGAAGAAGGAAAATTAAGAGTATTGATTGCATTTTGCCCGTAGGCTTTCGAGACTGGGTTCCAAAGGAGCTTCAAAGAGTGGGCTGCGTGGAGCTTTTAAACACGGTCCAGAGGCGAGTTCGGCCCAAACTCCATGTATTTGGTGGAATCCATGAAGGTAAGACCGGACGAAAGGAGTTCACCAGATGTGTCATTAGCCATGATCTCATTCCAGAATGGGGACCTTGGCTACCCTGGGAATGACTGGAGCAACTTTTACCAGTGGTAGAACCCTTATATAAGATGAAGGATTAGGAGAAACACCTGCCTGAAAAGCTGATACAGATTTTATACGGAGCTGCTCTCTTTTAAGCAGAGTGGAGAGAAAGAACCAGGTCTGGTTCACCTTCCAGAAAACCCAGCACTCCTCCAGGCAACTTCTGGAATCTCAGGGCTCTGACGAGGAACGTTTGCTAACCACCACTGTAGAGGAGCCCTGAGGTCAAAAAGGACAATTTTTTTTTCTTTAAGATAGTTAGAAGAAATGGCCTAGATATTAGACTAAATAACTTCCATGACCTCTTTCTACCTGTAAATACTGTTTCATATGGAACGCATATGAAGACCCAGGAAGACAAGGCATTCTCTGAAGCAAATAACTTGGGACACGCAGTGAAAGCACAGAACAGAAGTGGCAGGAACTGCACATTTGCAGGTAGTTGTTTCCTTACTAACCTCAGAAAACCATTTCAGACTTCTCAGAAATCATCGGCGTTCTTAGGTCAGGCTGAGGCTAAACAGAATGATTAAATCTCGCCTTAATGGGAACTGGTCCAGTTGCCTCTAGTTCTGCCTTTCATGGTAAGCTGGAGTCGAGTTCACAGAACTGAAAGCCTCCCAGAAACTTTACGGTTCTAGGTTTTGTCTTTCCTTCCTTTTTTAAGCTAGGGTTTTTAGACAGCTACAAAGCTGTCTTTCAGCAGGTCTTCGCTTTTCTGGCCCTGCTGGTCTCTCCCGGTTCCGAGGGTTTGTGTGCCGGAGGTGCCTTTACATAGGCAGCTGCCGTATTTTCTCCAGCTTCTGCTTTCAGCTTGTCCTCTGGAGTCATTTAGGAATCTGCAGGCGAGTTGTTTAGGCCTATGTGTCTGATGAAGCAAAAAAATGAAGTGTGCTTTTCAAAACCCACAAATCCATTGGCTTCCGGGTTAGGCATGGAATTAAAAGCATATGCATTGAAAATCATCCTACTGATGCCTAAGAAAATTCATCGTGCTCCAAGTGCAGGCGCCAGCCAAGCACATGGAATGCAGGGGTGCAGCTTCCCAAGAGTGGGCATCATCCTACCCTGACTTTGAGCTGTAGTCCCAGAAAAGGGGGCATTTCTCTAAGGCATGATCCAGGATTGGCGGGGGGATGGGGGATGGGAGCTCATGTCTAACTGGCATTTCTGGGGACAGTTATCAGGCTTGAATTCCTGCAGCATGCCTATGAGTTTGTATTTCATCCGTGTTTTTTGGTTTTTGGTTTTTTTTAATCATTAATTAGCTTTAAACTAGCCAGACAATTGGGGAATTCCACTGATGTCCCAAAATAATAAACTTGCTTAAAAGGCAGGAGATCATATTCAAATAAACTTGTCTCACTTTTATTCACTTAAGACAGCTGAAGAGGGCAGAGAGAGGGCAAATACCAACCTCTTGATGGAGAGAGATAACAAGACTTTATGACCCCAGAACTAAACAGTGCACATTTTAAATGCCTCTTTTCTTTTCTTAAGAGATTTTTCCATTGGCCCTCATTAAGCTCTCCACAGGCTTACTTGGACAAATTTTAGCAAATGGAAAGAGGGAAAAAAAAAGGAAAAAAACCTCAGTTATTTCTATAAGTCCTGGTAATTTAATTTTTCACATGCATATTTTTCTATTCCATAAGAGCCTGAGACCAACACAGAATTACAAACTTCAATGCAGGGACTCTAAGGTAGATATAAGGTATCCAGGGAAATGTGCAAACTTGCAAACATGTTAAAAATTTCAACAAATTAAAAATTACAAAAGGGACATACATACGAAAGACCCAGAAAAACTTCCTTAGCTTCCTTCCAATAGGTCACAAGAGATTTATATACTGCCATGTGGGAAGTGTTTTTGCTGGATCCTGTGGCGGGGTCTCTGCAAATCACTTGGATATTTGATTACTTGACTTATTTGGATGAAAGAGAACTCAGCACCAAAGCCACACAATTAGAGGGAGATAAGATCACATATTGTTAACTTTCATTGAGGCAGTTTAGAGATTATCTCATAGATAAGGAACCTGAGCATCCACCCCTCCTGAATCCCAGTGCAGTGCTCTTTGCCTCCTCACCTGTCCCAAAGCCCATCTGGGGTTTGGATGTGGGTACCCTGAGGAGTCTCTTACATTACTCTTTCTGTTCCTAGAACTCAGTAATTAATGCAGGGCTTTGAAATGAAAATCATATTTTAAAAAGAGGGAAAAAATGTTTTTTCTTTATTCTCACTAGTGAAGAAATCACAGTCTTTCCCTGACAAATCTAATGCTTAAATAAGGAAAAAATGAATCACTTTTCTTTGAAGTAGAGGATTCTCCCTTTAAAGGAAACAGAATGTAATTGGAAGGCAGCTTCTGAAAGCTGTTATCATCTGGGGAGGCTTCATTGAATCTCATCTCACTGCCCACTGGCAAAGATTCTTTTGGTTTTCCTTGCCTGACAGCTCAGCACTGAGTCACTGTCATTTGTATATATTGCAGTAAGCATGACACTCTGTCTCCACAGGTTACGGCATTATGACCGACGGTTATACAACGTACATCAATGCCTCAACGTGTACAGTCAGCTTTCAGCCGACCAACCCTCCAATTATATTTGACCTTCCAAACCCACAGGGTTCCTGAAGCTCTAAAAGTCCAATTGGAATGTGAGGGAAGGTCTATAAACTGCCATTTTTCTAATTACAAACTTACATTCTCTTACTTGTTTATTTCCAAATCCTGTGAGTTCTTTTTGTAAATTACTGGAACACAAATGTCGCTAGAGGTTGTGCTTCTTTATTATTACTTTTTTTTAATGGGGCGTCCATTCGGAATGAAAGGAGCATTGTGAATTTGTAAAATGACTTCCGTTTTCTCAAAGGCCACGCCATTGTAAATTGTTAGTATTCGCCAAAGGACAGCCAAGCTTTCTTTTTAAAAGGTGATGAAAGTCTTATTTTAATATGCTTTAAGCTGGAAGAAAAAGGAAAAAAAAAAAAAGAGAGAGAAACAGGTAGGTAGTGTTTTAAAAACCACCCAGATTTGCACAACTGTTTAAGAGTATTGTTTGAAGTATTTTATTTTTTGATGTTTTGTTGTTGTTGTTGTTGTTTTCTTGGTAACCCTTCTTTTTTGCAGACTTGGCCTGGATTTATAGCAATCTTTTCAGCAAAAGTAGGCGTGGAAAAGACTTCTCTTCACACTCTCACTATAAAGAAAGCTGCGTCCAGGGAAGAAAATGGCCCTCGTTCAAAGGATGGCTTAGCTAGTGAGATCCATATTGTGGTTATACAAGGTCTCATTGTTTGTTTCTTTTAAATTATTTTAGCTTTAAAAATATGGAAATGGAATCTGTCAAGAGCAGGTATTTCATGCAGTTAAAAGAACAGTTGAGCGCGCAGACTCCTTTTCAGTATGGGTTTATATATATATAAATATTTTTTGTGTATTATGGCTAAGTTAGGAGTTTAATATTGCCAAGGACAACTACAAAGGAATGCTTTATAGCAGGGCATCAGAAGTCCGAAGGGGCTGACACATTTTCTCAGAACTCAAGGTCTCAAAGAGCTTGAGTTAAGTCTAGGTACAATTACAGGCATGTACAGACTTACGTGGATGCAATGGAAGGTAACTAAAATGAGGCTTAGTCGTCCTTTATATTTAAATACCCTGAATTGTCTTCTTACTTCCTCTCCCTCCCCCCATTTTGCACTGTGTGTCGATGCAATCTTCGCTAGCACAAAATATTGTCGCTAATAGTCATTTCTGTTTTCCCATTGTAAATGCTGTTGAGCTTTATTCTATTTTATGTTATCTTGTTAATGAAATTTAGGAAAGCAGTTGTTTCTTTTAAATTTATTGTGATATTCTATATCTAGCGGCCTTTATATGCAAATAAAATTGCAAGATTTTTAAATCTGTCCTGTTTGGAGGGTTGGCTGGTAGGATGGTGGTTTTAGTCCTGGGGAAGGAGGGGGTTTATTCATATGCAACATTAGTACTGCCTTCCAGAAGAATTAGAATAAGTGATTTTTTTTTTCCTGATTTTCAATAAATTTTTATTACCCACCATTCACAGGCTGGCAGGTAGATCGATAAGGCACTCAGTCTACTCTTTCCTTCCATCACACTGTCATCTATCTTGCCGTGGGTTTCAGAGGGTGAATATTTCGTCTTGGCCATTGTAATTTCTATAGGAAGGGTCACCGTGCAGTGGAGGCTGAAGATGCTATCGTGGCTGTGTGCTTGGTGGTGAGAGGGTGAACCAGTGGGTAAGAGAGTAACCACTACTCAGTGTCATTTGTCCCCAGGAGCGGTCACTGTCACCCCCTTGCTGTTCTTTCTTTATGTCCATCACTAAAATGTTATGGCAGCCAGCACTCAACAGGCGGCGGTGGGGTGTGGTAAACTAAGTAATGTCTTTTTTATATTCTCTGGAACAGCCATTGAAGAAAAACAGCATGATCTTGAAACTGCAGTGTAGCCCAAAAGTCTACATTCCAGTGCCCCTTGGATTGTATTCTGGCAGATTTTCCTTTCCTCCTTCTCTTGTGGACTCTTTTGGTGTAACTGATGAAAAGAATCCTTGCTTTCAGTACCCACTGGGTAGAGAGAATGTTTTAGGCCAGAAGTCCAGCTCAGACTCACGTGTAACCATCTTAGTTGTTAATATTGATTAAGCGTCTTGGCTGCCACCCAGAGTGTGTGGTGGACACTTTGGTCTGAGCTCTCCTAGCAGATGCTTGAACTTCCCAAGCAGAGGTGGCCCATGACCATAGTAGCCATGATGGGCCAAAAGAGGTACTGTGGGAAGTTAACAACCCTCCTCTGATCTGCCACATCAATAGAAGAAGGTGTTGACTTCAGGGCTCTTCCTAGGGAGCTGGAGTGAGAGGTGACTGAATGGAAATTTCATCTGGAGCTAAGCTCAGACTTCTGGAAAAGCAGGCTTTCCAGAGACAGGTGGACGATCACGATGACAAGTGTGCATGTACAGCTCTTGACAGCACGTCTGGACCCAAACTAATTAAGCTAAGCACTTACTGAAATTGCTTTCCATTGTGAGGGGGCAGGAAGCAACCCAGCCTGCTAAATCTACAGGGTAGACTGGCTCATGGTCCAGGTTCACCATTCCATATGTATGAATAGCCTCCAGGAGGGCCAGGGTGACTGTCCAAAGGCCTGAAGCTTTCTCCACTGGGCCTTCTAACAAAGGAACATTTGAAATAGCTCTTACAAATTGGCACTTTCTGTCCTTTCATCACCAGGCACTCTGCTGAGCAGGTCTCATATTTTGTTTCTAACCCTCACAAAACCCTGGGAGAGGTCACAGAAGCCCCACTTTATAGATAGGAAACCAAGGCTCCAAAAGTTAAATAAATTTCCCTAGGAAAATGGAAGGTTCAAAACCAGGTCTGTCTGAATTCATAGCCCTGCCCTTTTTATCACCTGGCCTCTGGACTAGAAAAGTTGATGCCCTTCAAGAGCTGATAAAAAACTGATAGGGGTCTGGGGGCATGTCTTACCCCTTATGTGGGAGCTGTTGGAGCATCCTTCGGATTGGACCACTTCCTCTCTGCTTGAGACACAGCGCACCGTAGTGGGTCTGAGCACAGAGCCTGGGGCCAGTGTGCCTGCCCAAGTCCAAGCTCCTCCTCGGACTGGCTCAGATGCCTTCGGCTGGGTACTTCCCATCGCCGTAAAAGGGGGTTGATGATGATGAAGTGGCCGTGAGTTGTGCTGTGGAGATCACTGCCTGGCATCCAGTTTGTTAAATAAGGTCCCCATGCTGCCTTGAAATTCTCCAGGCAGGACCTGTCTGTTGCCTCCTCACCCTCAAGAGCACCAGTGGCATTATTTCTGAGAAAGTGTATTGGTTTGCATTCCTTGGAAACTATAATGAACCTCTTTCATAAGAATATGAAGGACCCCAAGGGCATTTGTGAGAGGCAGCTAAGGGGGCCTGACTTTTCAGGGTGGGCATGATATTTTGCAAATCCCTTCTAATCTCAGGAGAGGAAGGGGTCTGTACTCTTTAGAGTTGCTTTAAATGGCACCCGTGGATCTCAGCATCTCTCTCTCCTTGGAGTCTTTACATTCCATGTCACCCTCTCCTTCAAGCTCAATTAGTGAATTTTTTCTCTACATTTTCTCCCAATCCCCTTTTGTCTTATAAAGATGAGGGGGGGTTGCTGAAACCCCCTTAAGAGGCAGGTCACTGTTCTTCTGACAGGTGGCCAGCGTTAAGCCTGCCTTCATCTCTGTCACTTAAGTAAATAAATACTGTGACCCAGGGCTTAAGTAGGGAGAAACAGAAGCTGGGAGGATTTGGGATTTGTCAATTGCAGATAAAATACTTGCTGTGCCCAGAATAATGTCCCCCTCCCCCAGCCCTCCCCCAGCAAGGCTATGCTGCTCCATCAGGACCGAACATCCATCTTTTATTTTGGTTTCTCAGTATCTTTTCATGCCCTGTTCCCACTTCCCTAAAAGTTTTCATTACTTTTCATTTAATTATGAAACCGAAGTGAATTAAAGTCTACTTCAATTTTTTGAGAAATTGGCTATAAGCTGAGGGGCATTTGGAAACACTGCTGGGTTTGGAGCAGGAGACGTTTGGATGTGGGGAGGGTTCCAGCACCGGACATTCTTAATAGGTGCTTTTATAGAAGGTTCCAGGCCCCCTTCTGGATGTCAGCTTCTAAATGCAAAATGTTTTTTCTCCTACTTTGTGATGAAGTAGGAAGATCGCTGCCTGTGTGTCCACTCTCTGACAAGGTTCTTCCAGAAGTTTAGAGCTACTTTCCCTTCCTTTTCAAGATGTCATCTCTACTTTTCTGCTCCTATCTTGCCTTTCCATGGAAGAGAAAACCACACTGATTCCAAAGGCTCTCAGAAAAGCCTCCCTCTTCCCTGGTGCCCATCATAAAGTCAGCCCCTGCAACTCCAGAGAAGTTCAGAGAGGGTCAGCGGCGCCACCATGGTCACACAGCAGATCAAAAGAGATAGCCCCACATTGGCATTCGAGTTCTTAATTTTGAGCATGAACTGCTTTTCCAGTTTGACATTCAGGAATAACCAAAGATGGAGAGATCAGTTTGGCCAGACAGAATGTGATTTTATAGCAGAAAACAACCTCTGCCTATCTGTAGTTTATTACTATTAAACCTGATTATTTGAAAGAAACCTTAGCATCTGACCTCCAAGTGTTCCCATGAGGATTCACTTTCTTTCCTCTCAACCAGTCCACCTATAACAACTCTGATGGGCACCCGTTTCCTCCTCCCACAACAGAGATGTTGCTCTTTGTCACGTGTTTTGACCTACATGTGTATGTCCAGTCTGGAAGACATTGGGTGTCAGGAAGAGCCCCTGACTTTGAAATCAGATGTGCTTGCTTTCAAATCCCAGCAATGCCATTTACCATCTGGGTAGCCTTGGACGTGCTACTTTACTTCTCTGAGACTCAGATTCCACACCTGCATGATGGGGGTAATTCCTACCTCCCGATGGATTTATCAGAGTTGATATGCTAATATCACTAGGGTCCTAGGCCCAGCGATCTATCATTATACATGGAAGATTTTATTATGCTGTCCATCACAATTTCTTAAAGCAAAAGAAAGAGGGGTGGGGGGGTGCAAAAGGAAATATTTAGCTTATTTTTCCAGGTTATTCAGAGCCCTTCACGAGAGAAAGTGAATTCCTTGAACTGGACTAAGTCAAGGTAGTGGAGCTACAAACCCACGCCATCCATAAACTGAACTCTTTAAATTCCTCTCTCTCTCTCTCTCTCTCTTTAAACTATAAGACAAAACATTTGTGGTACTTTCTTCTCAACTGCTCCTATATCCTTCCTGAATTAGGGTTGTCTCACAAGACAAAAATCTTGAGGTAAAAGGCTTTTCATATCTGAGAGCATCTATATCTGGGTAATGGTGAGAGAGAGAAATGCATTTCCATTAAGAAGCATGGCCACAGTGGTACTAAAAGCACCGATAGACTAAACACGGAGAGGCAGAGCCTGCACCCATCAATCAGCGTTGATTTTTATGAAGCCACGGTTACCATGAGGTGCATCCGGGTGCTCTCAGAGCCCGCTTACCAAGGGAAGGGGCCTGTAATTTCATAGCCCATTTCTGCCCTGACCTTAGTGGATGACCTTGAGCATAGGTCGAAATTTTCAGTAGGAGCTTCTGAAACGGCAAATGACTTGGAACCCAAATGCTGCAGGCTTGGGCTCACCAACATGCCCTTGCACACGTTGGCTGTAGTGCTCAGGTACCAACTACTGAATCCTTCAAAGGGACTCCTGTTTCCTGGAAGCCTTCCCTGAATCCCCCTGCTCATGCCCAGAACACCTCCTTTTGGTGCTGCCGTGTCCCCCACGAGCACTGCCCCCTGCTCCGTGTTGTGATTGTGGCTGGTCTGCCTGTGAGCTCCCTGAGGTCAGCGACCAGGTCTCTTCTTCTGCATGCCCAAAGAAATGCTGTCTTAACGAATTAATCCGTGTTGGGCAGACAATAGCCAGGTATGTGAGAAAGAGAGGAGAAGTTAATGACAGATGAAATCTGCAGACATTTCCTGCGCACCGCGGGCACAGTGCGGTACCAGCCAGCTTCATTTGCAAGACTCAGTTCTCGTCATGAAAGGTCTTTATAACCTGGTGAGGAAAGCAAGATATTGACACACGAAGGTAAAGAGCAGTAAGATTCAAACGACAGTCCAAAAGAGCAGTAAAAGAAAGGATCTGTGCTAGGTTTGCCCACTTATGTGAGTGGCCATCGTTATAGGGAAGCGCAGGCTGGGGATTTAAGTCTCAGACAAGCATGGCAGCTAACCTACCTAGCAAGGGGAGTCTGAGTGATAATGATAATGTCAATCCCGTGCAGCTTCATTCCTGGAGGAGAAAAACCGGTCT